AGAGGCTATTGGACAGCAATGCCTTAAATATTTCAGACAGATAATAAAGACAGAATCTGGTCCCCAGAAAGAGTACAGGAGGATAAATGAATAGCAATCCAAGTACTTGGCTTCTTCTTCAGCGCCAGCTACCCAGAGCAACCTAGTCTTTTCACCCATGCATCTCCCTCCATCTTCCAAATCTACCACCCATCAATAGGGACCATCCTCTGGTTAACTAACAGCTGGTAATTTTTCAAGTTGTCTCTATTTTTCTGCGGCTCCTCCATTGGGTCTGGAAAAACACAATGAATCAGACCCATGTGTGCAAAAAATCACAAACAAACAAGAATTCTTCCTCTTTGCTGTCTGTGAGTGTCCCCATATTACACACAGGACTTTACAAGAGATGCTTATTCTGGAGTTCTTGTTTGCACCAGTGCCACCATGGGAGCCACTTACGTAAGTCATTGCTAAAGTCTGGGGAACATCTGAATTCAAAGATGGGTCAAACCCATTTAGGCAATGATGCCTAAGCTTGATAAAAAAGTATCAAGCTCTTTCTTTTCCATAAACAATTCAAGGTGTTTTGCCTCTTGGAGAAACACAACAACCCTTGGATTGCTTGAAAGTAGAAGAGCTGCTGCATGCAAGAGCTCCTGAGCGGTGCTAAACTGTGTGAGGGTGCTGGCTACCTCTATCAGGGGCTGGTGAGGCTAAGTGAATTGCGTTCAAGAGGGGGATCAGCACCTCTGGAGCAGACAAGAGTTAGCCTCCTGGGGGAAATTTAGGGGGAATCAACAACTTGAGCTCTTGCTGAGAATTGCACCCCTGAGGTTAATCCCCACTCAGTTACAGGCTCTCAGAGAAGAAACAGTGGGCTGATGTTCTCCAAGCATAGTGGAAGACATCATCAGGTCCGTATGCAGACCCTTTTCCTCTGGGCTGTGAAAGCTGCAGAAAAAGCAGCTCATGGTCTAGAGACCTCCTGACATCAGCATGGACAACAACCTCAGCAACACTGCTTCTTACGAGGGACTGAAAGACCAGCAGCTGGACCTACAGCACTCTTACACACTACAGCGTGTTTGATCTAAACCAGCCCAAGGCTCTTGGATGGTGACAGTACGTATCACAGGGTCTTTCTGACTTTGCTCATGTAGGAAAGTAAAATAACTATTCACAAGATATGGTCAGGCTTTCAAAAAGCAGGTGAAAACAGGCAGTGCTGACATTCTCAGTATGAACGTTTATGATCTTAAGGCTGCATGCGCCATCTGCGTATGTATGCACATACATGGACCCACCTGGAATTGCCCAGAATCTTCAGAAATGTGCCCTCTGCAATGTACTAATAATCCACAGGTGTAAACCACCAGCTGAGCAGGGTTCTATTTCTGTTTAACAAAAATTAAGTACCCTGTGCAAGAACAGGTCAATCAAACTTGAGCTCAGTTGCTCAGTTTATGAAGGGTACACAATACATGGTAGAAAACGGATCCCCAGGAAGTAGGTCTCCCTGGGCAGAACCCAGGGAGGCAATTTGGTGGCTGTGTCCCTGGACTGTCCCACCCTCCTCAGCATGCAGCGGTCCAGCAGGAAGAGGGTGAATCTTCAGCACTGCACTACACCTCTCCTGAGTGCATCTTGCACAGAAGACGTATGTTACATACACTTTCCCCCATCTCAGATGCACTGAAGATGAGGTCTGTTAATTTGGATGGCATGAGACATAAGAAACCCCCCAGGTGCCAAGTCTCCTTTTGTGAACCTACCCACCTCACCAGCAAATTTGGTAAGGTATAACCCAGCACAGCGGCAACGATTCTGGAATCACTGCTTTTGATTTAAAGTAGCAAAAAGGATGCTAACAGATATATACAGGTTTCTTCCCACTTCTCCTTCTGCTATTTATGCCAGCAATGAAGGGGGAAAGGGGGGGGGGGGGTGTAGTGGTAGCTCCTGGCCCTGTAGGCTATTATCTTCTGCGACATGCTCCAAAGATAACAAAGCATAATCCAAAAGATGCCAGGAAAGCATCCTGTTGTCTGATCTCAACAACGCCATGACACAATCTTTCCCAAAGTCTGCAGTCCCTGATTCCATCAACTGCTGCCACAGACAACCAAATCAAAGGGGATAAGCTGCACATTGTGGTTCCTGGGAGGCAGTTCACTGAAAATCGTTCCAAACTTAGGCTTTGTATCAAGATAAACAGGTTGGTCTTTGTTTCAGGCACAATCAGCTCAACTACTTGGGTTTTCTCCTTGTTGTTGATGTCCTTAATGTTTTTTTAATGTGGGATGCCATTTCCTGATGACTGTCTCTGCTCAAAAAAACCTGTGCTCTTTTATCACCTTGCCTATTTTCTGTCACTGGGGGTTTATACTCACAGGTGATCAGCTCAGGCTGGCAGCAAAGGCTTCCTCATGATCAGCCCTGTTAAGCAGTCATTTCACTCTGCCCCACACTTGCAGTTAATTACTGCTTGACTGGCTACTAACTTGGGGTGTCAGCACCAGGTAAGAATAATTCTGTCTTTTGAACAGCATCCGTGGAAAGGCTTGGCCAGCCCTGCTCTTGCAGAGCAAGATGTGGTAGATGTGGAATAAACCTCCTTCTTCTACCCATGGAGGGAGTGGAACACACTGAGCCATGGCAGTCTGGCACGGCGAGTGCTGCAGCAAACTTCTTTCTGCCCAAGCACAGCATAATCTGCAAAAATGTCACTGCACATCCAAGGCAAGAGGGACACAAGTCCTGTGCAATTTTCTATCTGAATTAAGCAATCCCTAAAGTCAGCTTTGAACAGCACAGAAACATGCTGTGTTCTGAGTTAGTGGAAGGACATTTTAGAGAAAATTGGGAAACTTGGAGAAAGCTGAGACTTGGAGAAATGGTCGGCTGGCAATAAAAGGTACGATGAGACAAATCTGCCTTAAGAAAACAACATTTAGTTGTTACATAGGCTGGGAGCAGTTGCAAGTTTAATACATTTAATTTCCACACTCAGGACCTTTAAATCCATACCCTTTCATTTGAGAGACAAAAAGAAAACCTTCTGACTTGTGTATAACTACTGAAAAGGAACACGCTGACCTGTGTCCGGGAGGTTTAAAAGCAGGTGGCACTGAACTTACTGGTGCCTACAAACACACACTTAAGCACGCCACTGAGATCTACTGAAATACTCACATGGAAGCAGAACACAGCCTCTTAGCACATACCTTGCACGTGTCCATCTGAATTACTCAGAAATATGGGGACCAGGTTAATTAAACTATTTTAATGAAATTTAATGTATTTTAAGGTATTTTAATGAAACATTGTGAAAGCAACCTGTATTATTTCAGCCCATGTTATTCAAGCCTTCTCTTCCTGGAACCAGCGAGGTTCTGGCATTTGTTTCAAAGGGATCACGTCACTTATCTGCTTCTGAAGCTTTCTTGATCTCTTATTTCTAATGCGGGATGTAATTTTAATTTTGGTCTTGGCCTTAAGCAATTCTGAGCTTGAAATATGGACCTGGAAAATACTGTATCACTTAAGAAACCCATAAATTAACATTTACATCAACAGAAAATGAAAGAAAAACAACACCTGGGCAAAAACTGTCTGGTGACCTGCAAGTTTCCTCATCAGGGGCTTTTCTCCCCAGACTAAAGAAGGCTGGAGGTTTAGACCTAAACTGCTGCTCTTGGGTGTGGGTACTGATTCCTAAAGTGGCTGTCAAACCCTCCAAGGACACATGCCCTGGACGTTAAGTCCTGCTGGGAACTAGTGGCCATGCTGCAAGCCCGGCCAGGAATGGAGGACATCACACATGTACCACCAGCCCGGCACCTCTGAGGAGGGGCAGGGCTCCCTCCCCCGGGCACCAAGCCTTTGGGCATCCTCCGAGTGTGTTGCCAGCCTTCATCTCTCCACACCACTCCTTCTTGCACAGGCGCCTTCTGGCAAGACACGGACTGCGTGCAGAAAATAAAACCGCATTTTTTCTAGTGCCAAAGTTACTAATAATTGACGTTTGTAACACAAAACTGGCAAAACCAGTTTGCTACAATAAAGCCGGCATTTTATTATTATTTTAGGGTTTAATTTAGTCACCGTGAGTTACTCAGGCTCACGTTTGCAAGCTGCGCAGGGCAGTTACTTCACCCCTCTGGACCGACCAGTCCTGGAGCGCGCCCGGCAGCGCCACGGGCCACCGGCCGGGTGGGGGGGGCGGGAGGTGGAAGTCGCGACGGGGCCCGTAACGTGGTCCCAAACGCAGCCCAGGGGAGCCCCTCGCCCGGCTCGCCATTGCCCTCTGGAGGAGCCGAGCCGCCGCTGCCAGCCCGCGCCCAGAGGGGCAAAGGCACGTTGGCCACCAACGGCGCCTTGCGCCGGCGCCCACCGCGGTGCGCGCGGGTCCAGGCCGCCGGGGCGAACATCGGGGAACTGGAGAAAACCCCATAAGGGACGAAAAGCAAGCTCAGGCGGGGCGGGAGGGGAAACGAGCGGGGAACGCCTGGCGCCGTCCCGCTGCACGGCCCGGGCGCGCTCCGCGGGGCTGTACGCCCGTACCGGGAACGCTGCGGCTCCACGCGCGACCGGCGGGCGCTCTGCGCAGCGCTCCCCCCAGCCGGGGATCCCCGGTGCTCCCCCAACGAACCCCCCACCCCCACTCCCGCTCGCGTCGGCACCCTGCCTGCGTCACACAGCCCGCGCTGCGCCGGGAGGAGAGCGGGCGCCGGGCGGGGCGGGGCGGGGCGCGCGGATGGAGAACACCCCGCCCCCCCCTCAGCACACGCCCCCCTCGGCCGGGCCGCGCGCGCACCGCCTCCTCTCCCCACGTGTCAGTTTGTTTTCACCGTCGCTAGGCGACAGGGGGCGGGGCGCGCGCAAGGTGAGGTTATATGAGGGGCGGCGGCGGCAGGCACCAGTCAGTGCCGAGCGGGCCGGCGGCGGGCGGTGGCAGCGGGTGCTAGGCGGCGGCTACAGCGGCGGCAGAGCACGGGCTGGCCCGGCTCCTTCCCTCCCTCCCCACTGGCACCACTGAGCCCCGTCCGTCTCGCCCGGCTCCCCCATGGCCGCGGCTCCCTGGGAAGCACCTCGCGCCGCCGCCCTGCTGAAGCTGCGTTGCCGGGCGGCGGCTGCCTCTCCACGACGCCGCTAGCGCTCCGCGTCCCGCTCACCTTCGTCTCCGATACAGCGCTGAGGAAAAGGGGTCCCGCAACACAACCCCGGCAGCTCTCGGCCGGCTCTCCGCGGCTGGACGGCACGTCCGTGCCACTTCTCCTTTCTCTCCTTTTTGGCGGCGCTCGGGACAACGGCGGCGGCAGCGGCTCGGCGTGACGCCCCGGCGCCGATGCGGTGGGTGCCGGGTACGGCCCCCGGCCCGGTTCTCCGCAGCCGCCGCTGCCGCCTGACACCGCTGTGCTCTCCCCTACCCGCAGGCAGCCCCCCGGCGAGTGCGAGATGGCTCTCAGTGGCACGCTCCTCCCTTCCATCGCCACCTTCGCGGCGGGCGCCGCGGGTCGCGAGAAGGCGGCGCGGCCCGCGGGCCCCGGCAACGTGAGTATCGGAGTCCCGGCGGCGCGGGCCGGCCGGGACGGGGTCAGGGCGGCGCGGGCGGGGGCCAGCAGAAGCGGGCGCTGCGCGGTGGCGGGCCGGGTACTGAGCCGTGCCCGTCTCCTCGCAGCGGTGGCGGGAGGAGCTGTCGCAGCTGAAGCGGCCGCCGCCGGCGCTGGCGGCGCGGCCCGTGGAGGCGCCGCCGTCGGAGCTGGAGGCCGCCGCAGCTCTGGGGTCCCGCCGCGACGCGGAGGAGTTCAACGAGCTGCTGGACTTCGACTTCATCCTCTCCAACTCCCTCATGCACCAGGAGCCTGCCGCCGCCGCTGTGGTGGTGGCCCCCGCCGCCGCCACGGCCCCCACTGCCAGCCCCTGCCCTGCCGGGTCCTTTTCCTACCCACTGCCCCGGCCCGAGCCTGCCGGCCTTCTCTATTGCGGCGGCGGCAGCACCCGTGATGGGGCCCCTGCTGCCGGCCCTACCGCCCCCTTCAACCTGTCTGACATCACCGACGTGTCGCCTTCGGGAGGCTTCGTGGCTGAGCTCATGCGGCCTGACCTGGACCCGGTGTACCTGCCGGCGCCTGCGGCGTTGCCGCCTCTGGGCAGTCTGCAGGGCAAGTTTGTGGTTAAGGCCGTGGGCGAGTACTCCCACCCAGGGCTCAGCCCCAAGGGTGGTCCCCCCGCTGCTGGCCCGCCACCCAGCACTGAAGGCCCCGGGGCACCCTACAACGCCTTGCCACGGATGTGCCCCAAAATCAAGCAGGAGGCTGCCCCACCGTGCACCCTGGCCCCGCCGCCGCCACCACCACATGGCAGCATCCCCCGAGGAGCCCCTCAGCACGACTTCTCCCTCGGCCGCCCACTGCCTGCCCGGACTACACCTTCACTGGGGCCCGAGGAGATGCTGAGCAGCAGAGACTCTCTCCCCACCACCCCAGGGCTGAACCATGCACCACTGCCACTGCCCCCGGGGTACCCCTCGGCATCTGGTTATCCCACGTTTCTGCCTGAGCAGCTGCCACCTGGCACACTCCAGTACCAAGGTGAGTCTGGGTGCTTCAGCAGCAGGCACAGCCACCGTGGCACTGGCTGCGTTGGTGCTCACTCTTTCCTGTCCGCCTCTAGAGCTGATGCCGCCAGGGAGCTGCCTGCCTGAGGAGACCAAGCCCAAGAGGGGACGCCGGTCATGGCCTAGGAAAAGAACAGCTACACACACCTGCGATTATGCAGGCTGTGGCAAAACCTACACCAAGAGCTCTCATCTCAAGGCGCATCTGAGAACCCACACAGGTTAGTTGCAGTGCCGCGTCAGTAGGATGCCTCAGCTTGAAGGGTTCGAGGTGGGCACCTCAGACCTTGACAAGGAGATACAGAAAGAGAGCTCAAAGTAGCGAGTCCTACCCTTCTTTGCTGGGTTTCTGTGCTTTTTTTTCTTCACCTCTTGGGTACATGAAGTCCTGTGCAGTCTTTGCTTGTTGGCTCAACATTTTGCTTAATGGTTCAGAATGACTCAGATGTGGGAGTGGGTGGGTTTCTTGCCAAGGCAAAGTTTGTTGCTCCTCACTTGCTATGTGGCTAGCTAATTAGCAGGTAGTTGGAAGTTAGATGGGATTTGTTGCTCTAAATGGAGTTGGCCCAATTCTGAGAAGGGAGCAGACTTTTCTCCGATAATACTGCTTCCTTTGCTTGTGGCTAAACGCTTTGCATGCACACCCCTCATGTCTTGGCTTGCTCTAGTGCAAGAGACTGCATCTCTGCAAGCTGGTACTCCCTTTCTGAGGAAACCGTGAGGGGTCTGTTCTGAGCAGGGCTTTCGGCATCAGTGACAGGGTGCCTCTCATACAAGAGGGAGCACATCTTCCCCTGCACTAGTAACAAAGAGGCAGAGTTTAACGGTTGATTGGGTTCTGTTAGAACTGGTGTAAAATCTGCCAAAGTGTGCATCTGAGCCCAAGTTAAAACTTTAACCTTGCAGCTGAATGTGGTGTTGCAGTAACTGAACTTGTGAAAGCAGGTACATCTTGTGTGTTTCATCAGTGCAAGCATTCTGTAACAGTGATTAAATAACCTGAAAATTTGCATAATTTAAATCTCTGCTTGGTGAACTTGACTCAAAACTTTCTCTGGAAGAGGAGAAGGGAAAGAGAGAAACCAGTAGTAGTGCAGTAGTTAGGCTACATCTTTAGTTAGTGGCAGTGGGTGGAAAAAAATCAGTCAAGTGAACAGCAATTCATGCCTACTCCAAGCTGGTCAGTGCCATTTCCAGTGTGCGTGGACCAGGGAGTTTGTAATTGTCAGGCAGACCTTTCTTGCCATTGACAATGGTTTTGTTATAGTGAAAACAGAAGGATCTAGTTCTTAATTAGGCTGAGCTAATGAAAATGGTTCTCAGCTGGTTTTTAATTCTTGAGACCTACAATTACCTAAATACAGTGTCTGCTGAAATATTTCTGGTTCCTGTTTGCTTGTATAACATTAGCCAGAGAAAAATGCACTGTATCTGAACTTGTGTACTCTGAAGCCTGGTATTCAAGACAAACAGTGGAAATGAGCATTTTAGTGAAGATTTCAGTGACACAAACATTTTATAGAATCTGTACATTTTCAAACGACAGTATTACTGTTGGTCTTTGTAGTTTGCTGGCAACTGCTTCAAAAAGTTCTTGCATTTTCTCTGACATCACCTATTTTCTTACCCAGGACGTGTGTTAGTGCCCTTGAAAGAAAGGTGTTAGAAGTGGCAGCCATGAAAAAAACATAGCTGACACGGTTTATTTTCTATTTTTTTTAAAGGTGAGAAACCTTATCACTGTGACTGGGAAGGCTGCGGATGGAAGTTTGCCCGATCCGATGAACTTACTCGTCACTACAGAAAACACACAGGCCACCGCCCCTTCCAGTGCCAGCGGTGTGACAGAGCATTTTCCAGGTCGGACCACCTTGCCTTACACATGAAGAGGCACTTCTAATTGGAAGCAGTGGATCTTTCACCAACTGCCATAGAGATTCAGTATTTACAGCATAAGGACTGTCTTTCACGAGACGGGGAGAACACAGTTTAAGCACTACAGATAATCAAGGTGAAGTCTTCCAAAGAGTGGAAAGAGGGATAATTGCATACAGACGTTGCAACTTTGTTTTTGTATATGTGCGATTGAAAGAAAACCAAAAACGCTGGGCTCAGTGACTGAATCTTCTATCATTCCATTTGTAAATCCAACTTGAATTATTTCCGGACTACAAAATGCCAAGGAGTGACGGGAAGTCACGGATATCAGGGTTAAACAGACTGCGTAGTTCGGAGGGTGGGGATATTACACAGGGAAATTACATTCCCTTAATTTTCTTTCAATGCAATATTAAATGCAAATGTCATCTTGTACTTTTGCTCTTTTCCTTCTTAAAAGCCATTACAATGTTAGAAGGAAAAATTCAGGTACAGAATTATATTTTAAAAGCCTATTTCATGGTGCTTAGTGACTGTTGGTTCTAGAGGTACCAAAAACAGGAAGCCAAAGTTCTCAAACTGCTGCATATCTGACAAGGACATATTTTTGTCTTATGATGACCAATTATGACGTAAATCAGGTAAATAAACCTGGTTTATCTTTTTGTTTTGTTTTTTCCTTAAGAAAAAAACTTTATGCAGACAGTCTGTAATGCACTGTGGTTTCGATGTGCAATAGTTTGTACAATGGATTATTCCCAAATATGCCTTAAGCAGAACAAATGTTTTCTATTTAGTTCTTTACTTAATAAATATGTAATATAAATTTAAGCAAACGTCTATTTTGTATATTTGTAAACACAAAGTGAAAATGAACTTTTTGTTGGAATTTGTATTTTACATATTCAAGTGGAAAATAGGTGTTAAATAAACCTATAATATTATCTGGATGGCTACTCTTAATTTTCTTCTGTGCACAGAGATGTCCAAAGAAAGTTCATTAAGTTTGTCAGTGGTTGAGTTTCCTAAGCCGAGGGGGCATTTGGTAGCAAAGGCTCGTGGTCTCAAGACTCTGAAGGATAGGATTGTATAAGTGTAGTGCTGATGTAACACATTTTCGGTGCTGAAAATTTATCTGAATATCAAATTGCCACTTCTCACCTGCAGAATGAAATTTTAGTTTACCTTTTTTTAAGGTAACTCAGTTTGAATTATTTGTTAGAGGAAACTTACCTGTGGGGGACATGCGATTTTGCAGTGTCAAAGATCACAGATTCTAGTGGGTTGGTTGTTTTTTTTTTTAGTGGTCTTGTCAGCATGAAAAGTTCTTCTCTTTCTTGGTAAGCTGATGTAACCACGTTTGTGTTGAATGAAGGAAAATCAAGTAATGTCTCAAAGAATAAGCTTTTGACTGAAGAGTAAAGAGTAGATGTGTAAACTATGTTTTAACAACAAGCTCTGTGGAGTTCCTTTTGAAGCCGGCTGTGTCCTGGGGATTCAGTAATTTGGCAGTATCTGAAGAGCCAGAATTCCTGTAGGAATCCTGTTACACATGCATTATTGTGGGCAGGCTGACCTTGCAGAGCCTACAGACTTGAGATGTGTTGCTGAAAGGTCCTCAGCATACTGCTCTGTCACAGTTAAGTATTGGGAGCCTGCTGCATGCCTTGGGTCCTTACCGGTTATGTGTAGCTGTCCTTAGGGTCCTCATTGTGCTAGCTGTTTTACCACTGTGTAGCCATATGATTTCAATGTGAATACTTGATGAATAGGACATGTTTTCTCGCTGCTCTTTTTAAAAAGAGCAGAAAGAAATTATTCCTTTTCCACTGGTTTAAAATGTCAGTCAAGCTTCCTAGATCTGTGTAACGTTCAACAGAGCTGAGCATGGAAAACAAATTACAGGCGAGAGCTATTCACATTCTTGCAGTAGTTGAAATGAGTGGCAATATCAACTTTTTTGTTCCCAGTTGTGCCTTAGGAATCCTATTAAATTTCACGTTTTGATGTGCTGTTTGTGTGGTGGGCGAGTGGTGCATTCCTTTCCAAAGTCCATGTGTAAGTAACATAATGATGCAGAAAATACTTCTCACCTCTTATCTCCTAGGCATGCTTTGTTCAACTGAAAGCTATCTTTGTTGGTTTGGTTTATAGGTAACATGGGGAGTAGGGAATGTCTTGTTTGGTTTGCAAATAGCAAGTATTTAAAAGTAAATTAAAGTTATGAGTCATCTTTTATCTGAAGGGTTTTTTCATGTGAGAACTTTCTGCAATTAAACCAGTCATTTTTTGCCTCCTCTGTTGCCTGTGGATTCTGGATGAGAGATGCAAGGTCAGTGTTGCAACTGGCATGAACTGTGTGCCTGAAGCGTATTGTCCTGTCTCAATAATACTGGAGCACATTGGTAGCTGCAGCATCACCTCTGCCTGTACAGCTGCCATTCAGAGCCTTTTGAATCTGTCTATGCAAGGTCTACATCCTAACTCATTGTAAGTACTTAAATCTGAAGATTTCATCTGAGAAACTAGTTTTGTTTGCTTTCTAAGTGTTCTCTCATTATGCAGCCTTAAGAATTTTATAAGATGCTCTTATGAAATGCTCTAGCATTTAGTAGTGCATTATCTGCTTAAGCCAACTTCATTTTCTGCCTGATGGTTTTATAGACCCTAGGTTTATAGTTGCACAAACAATGGCATTCTTGAAACAGGGCTTTGTTCTCTTCTTCCACTTAACTACTTTTTCCCCTTTTTTTCCTGATCCTAACCAAGCTGTTGTCATGTATGTCTGGCTTTTTAGACCTAAATGGGCAAGGTTGCAGCTTGGTATTTAAAAAGAAATGCTGCTGTTCCTTTAACCATTTCCAAAATGCTACTCCTATACTTTTGGGATGGGAGCCACCACTCAATTTTTGCTGTACGGCATGCAGCCTATGAGAGGCAGTCCTTGTTCTTGAGGAGGTCTCGGGGGGTCAGGAAAATACTGAATGAGCATTTGCACCAGTTGTGCTCTGGTAAGCTAGGTAGAGCTAGAAACCACATGTTGTGTTCAGCACCTGCTTCATTGTGTCTGTCATCCCAGCGTTCCACTTAGGTGCAAGATTGTACACAGATGCAGTGGAACAACACATATATCAAAAAGCCTATCTTGTAAAACATATGTAAAACACCAGCAGTCTTGTAAAGGTGTCTTGAAAAACCAGATTTGTTTAGCGTTACTAAAGCTTTATTCATGTGCTACTTTGCTGAGGCTGGGGCATCTAAAAGCAGGGTTTGAGGTTATTAGGGGTGGCCTCTCTGACACGGGGTGAGCACTTCCAGAGCTGCCGCAGAGCACTATTTTAGCTGCTGAAGGGAAAAGTTCTCTGGGAGAGAGTTATCTCTGCAGTCAGACTACAGCCATCCTTAATCCCGCTCACCCCTAGCCCAAATCTCTCTCAAGCACACTGAACGTGAGGATGGAGCTGTTTAAAACAAGATGACACATGCCTGCTTACCAAGAGCCAAGTATTCAAAAGTGCCATAGAAATAAAAATCTCAGAGCCGCAGCACTTCTGTGCACTTGTCTGCTATTGCACCACAGGATGGAGGTTTGCATGCTTGAGACTTGGTTGTCAGTGGTAATCGAGTGCAAATGCCTGCAGCTTTCCCCTGTCACATGAAGGTGTACTTGGAGGAGAGCTGCTCTTCCCGGTGGTTACCAGATCCCGCCACTGCTGAAGTCAACTTCAAATCTCACACAGATTTATATTAAGCTGATAGGAATCAGTGAATTTCATTTTCCTTCTCTTTAATAAGGGGAGATCAGAGACTCCTGCGGTTAATCACCCCGAGTGCTAACGGTTCAACCGAATTAGTTTACACAGGTTTCCTATGGGAGTGTGCTAGATGTTAGAGCTAGCCTGCTTCCACTGAACTCCCTGGCAAGCACTTTAACAGCAATTGTGTGCAAGAATTTCCAAATTAACCCATTTGCAAGCTGCATTCCTCCATCGGCTTTCTTCCTTCCTGAGTGCCATTGACTTGTGTACTCTAAGGCAGCAGGAGAATAGGAACAGGTTGCAAATGTGAAGGGGTAGGCCAGCAGTTACACTATAAGGATCTGGCAAAGATGTGGATGTGGTAGAAGTGCCAGCTGGAAGGACACCCGAGGTATGCTGAGCAAAACTCACATGGAAAGGAAGAGAAACACCATCACTATCCCATGATAACTCATACTTGCCAGGAGAGCTCCCCAGATTAAATAGCTGTGTGTAGGCTTTATGGATGTATCTCTGGAAACCAAGCAGATCAGTGTGTACATAAAAGAGGGGAAGGCCCATCATTCACCGAAATTTAATTGAGGTCACACTGGCTTGGAGCCACAGGGTAACACACCCACATTCCCCTGTCTGCCGTACACCTGGATGACTCATGTTCCGTCTGCCCTTCACTCCTGTGGTGCCTCACAGGGGGACACTTTCATTGCTGCTGAGGGCATTGCCACCAAGTGCAAAAGTGGTCTCTGCAGCATGCGAGTGGGTGGTGGTGGTGTTTCCGCTGCCTTGTTCTCCACCTTGGCTCTATTCAGATGTCTGTTGATCTCCTTTTCACCTTTGGGTGGTTACCTGTGAGCCCTCAAGGCTAGAACTTTAATGGTGTGAAAGACAGGAAGGGGGAAAGTGGCTTGTGCTTTACTGATGTTTATTCTGTGTTTAGAACACGCATGCCCAGAGTTTTGCCAAAGACAAATAGCCTCAGTAGCTGCTCAGAAGAGGTATAGGCAGCGGGACCTTTTCCTTTCAGTGATGTTTGCCAGACTCGTGGAGCTGTGGCTTCTTTTGTAACTGAGATGATGATTTTCACATGGATTTTCCCTGGTCAACTCAGGGTCATCCCTGTGACGTGTTTATTAACAGGAAGTTTTAGGGGACACGCCAAGCTCCTTTCACTCTGGAGCTTGGGTGAGCAAAAGGGTAATCGTGGCCTGCTATCACCACAGCCATCTTGCTGCGACTCTGAGAAGTTTTGCATGGTTTTGCTTTGGGTACGGCACACTTGTTTATCAAGCACAAGCTAAGGCTTGCTTAAATCTTGCCATTCAAGTTCTCCGCTATTAAACTTTCAGGCTTTATTCAACAAAATGATACAGCTTCCCTGTACTGGTTGGCTGAAGACCCTCAATTTTAGAAAGAGATATCCTGCAGTTACTCAGAATTATTTCCCGTTCTGCCACAGCAGTTACAAATGGTCTGATGTGCGACACGGCATCACCAGCACACAAGGGTTTTTTTACCGGGAGCCTTCTCTCTGGTATTCAGTGTCAGCTTGTGTATGTCCTAGTGTTGATGCCTTAATGGGTGTCGGGAGCAGACTGTCAGGTCTGCTTTGTCCTTCCACCCCTAAAAAGGCATTGGGAAGGCTGGCTGATTTTGCTGGCCTCGGGTTGCCAGCCTAACTCCCCAGGCTTTGGCCACTGGCCTCCCCAGGTCCACCATGTGCTTCCTGCCATGTAGAAATACTGCAGAGGGCTTTGCTCTCACATACAAAATATTGTTTCTTGAGGTTCCTGTGAGAGTTTGATTTGCATATCAGGCCTCTGGGAGGGCACCACAGCATCAGTAGCATTTGACGTCTGTATCTCAGCTGGGGTCTTTCAGCACGAGGAATATCTTGGGGAGTTGGCGTCCATCATCATTATGTTCTTCTTTCTGATAAAAATTAATATGGTACATTTAATATGTTGATAAACTACTAGGGGTAACATTGGCAGCGATTACTAAAGCACATTGGAATTTACTTTCTAAGCTCTGGACGAGGTTGTATTGTGTTTAGGCTCCAGATATACTGAGTCAATAATAAGGTTGGCTATCCAAAGGGGTCCGTTGCTCTTTGCACTGAGATGTACTAGGTTTGGCTGTCCTTTCTGAGTCCCTGCATTACACTATTTCAGCAACAGGCTCCACT